ATATCCGTAGATATTGGCACAGGTCTTAGAAATCTTTGCTAATATTTATAATTCATTCTCTTTACTTAAGTTTAATCGTCCCTCTCCCAACATCATATGGTTATAGTGATTTCCAGTAAAACCCACTATCCAAAATTGCTGTAACAGTATATAATCTCTCATTTTAATTATGAAGTTATTGTTATTATTTGATTTATAATCTCTTGTTATTATTGTGAAATTATATTTTTTATAATATTTGTAATTGATTTTTCATTTATATTAGTAAAATTAATAGTATATAATTGGATTAATAAAAAAAATTATATTTAACTTGTTTATAAACTAACTTTTAAAAAAATATAATTATTTTTAAAATATTTTTGGTATTTTAGCTGATAATAAAATAAATATATATTATTTACCTTTAGATACTCATATTCTTTCTTCTATTTGAAGTTATATTTCATAAATTCTTTTACTTAATATAATAGTACATGTCATTTATGTGTTTTTTTATGACAAAACTTAAAAACATATAAAATAATAACAATATATTATAGAATATTTTGCTTGTAATAATATATATATTATTATATAATAAACTTTAATCAAATAATTTATTGAATTATTTATACTTAATATTATTGAACTATAAATATTTTATAGCTTATTAAAAGAATATAATTATATAGAATGAGTGAGCAATTTAGTGAGTGAATAAATAAACAAGTAAATAAACAAGTGAATGAATAAGTAAATATTAAACCAATAGAATTTAAGTAAACTAACAAATATAAATTCATGTATTAGCTAAATTATAGTTTGTATATATAAAAATAACATATATTATAATTATTAAAATTAAATTAAAAACAAATTCTTAATAATAATAATTCTCAATTATTACTTATAATATACTTTTGATTATTTATATAAGTTAGATTTTCACTTTATATAAAGTAAGTAATTAAGTACAAACTTCTCTCTACATCTTTTTAACAAAATATATTCTTGTTTCTTGTATAATTACTTTAGTATTTTTGCTATAAGTATTATATAGTTTTTGAATAAAGTATTAGTTACTCAAGCACATTGTTATAAATACTATATTATTTAGTTTTAAGCTCTCTGAACATATTTGTAATAAAGCTTATTGAAGTTATATTTAAATAAAGAAATTATTATTATAATTTATAAATCTGTTTTTAAATTATATTTATAATAATACAAATATTATAATCTCTATATATTTGATTTCAAGATTTTAAAGATACTTTTTAGCTATTTAGATTATTATATTAAAGAATACAAATTGTTATCAATTTTTAGTGATTTTGTTATTAGTACTTTTAGTACTTATTCATATTTAATCTAATAATTATAAAATATTATTTAGAGTTTGAAAAAAATCTGGTTTAGTTTGAGTTAGATTCAGTTTAAACTTAAATCTGACTCAAATCTGATCAAAAGTTTAATTCAAAAATTTGAATCCAATTAAAAATCTGATTTGAATTTAGTTCAAACTTTGAATTAGATTCAAACCTGACCAAAAATCTGATTTGAGTTCAAGTAAATATTCAATAAGTTTTTATATAAAATTATAAATTAGAATTAAAACTACAAATAAATATAAAATAATTAATATTAAAAATGGATATTCAAAAAGATATTTAAATTTAAAAAATATTTTTAATTTTTATGATTTTAATTCACTTTAGTTATTCTATAATAAATCTTTATTTTGTTATAGTAATTATAAATTATGATTATAAACAAAATTGTAGCTAGTAATAAGAATTACAATTTAATATAAGATAGTTACTAATAATAATTATTATTTAAAAAGGTATATAGAATTTATAATAAAATTTAATAATTATAAAAATAAAAATAATTTAATTGTCACTAAGTAAACTTTTAATTCTTATTAAATATTATTATTAATACTTATATATAGTTAAATCTCTTTATAATTACACTCATTTATAGTTATACCTCTCTATAGTCACCCTATTTTGCTTTCTTATTTACATATAAATATAGTAAAAAAATATCTCTATAGTTACATCCTCTCTATAGTCATCAAATTTTGCTTTTCTGAGGGAGATATCTATAAAGAAATTTAATTGTACTTATAATTAAAGTTGTAGCTTTTATTTAGAGCTACAAATTGATATATAATATTATATATTGATCTCTAATCAAACTTGAATTAGATTCGAACTTATATAATAATTCAGTTCAAGTCTGATTCAAACTTTAAACTTTTCTTGAATTCAAATTAGATTTAAGTTTGATTCAAATTTTGAACCAAATTCAAATTCAAATAAAAGTTTAGTTCAGTTTATAGGCATACTAATATTATTAATACTTTGAATTATTATATAAATATTAAAATTTCTCTTTGAATATTTTTTTAAATTTTATAAATATCTTTGAATATTTCAAAAATTAATTAAAATAGTAATAATATTGAACAAAAAAGCAAAATAATTATATATATAATATAATTATAGAAATAAATAAAATTATTATTTATTTAATATTTATTTTATATAGATATATTACTAATTCTTATAAAATTTATATAATTTCATGTTATAATTTTTAATATTATTGTGAAAATATAAATAAAATTAAAATTTTCAAAACTTTGTTGATTTTTTTAATAATAATATCAAGATCTTGATATTAATTATAGTAATCTGATTATAAAGAACCAAATATAATTTTATATATTTTTTATTTCTAAATATAGACTTAATAATTATTTTTTATAAGTTATCTCAATAAAATGATATATAAAATATTGATATTTAAACCAAATTGAAACAAACATATATTAGATAGCACATTTTAATAATGTCTAATTATTTTTAACTTCTATATAAAAGTTAATAATTATCTAAAATAGATAAATATTTATCAAAATATTAATTATAAAGTTATAGATATAAATAAAATTAAAAATAAAATATATAATATTATCAAGTTACAGAATTTTTGTTCAAGAATTAATCAAATTGCTCAATTTTTAAAAATTAAATAATTTGATTAGTTCTTGAACAGAAACTTTATAACTTAATAATGTTATGTATTCTATTCTTAAATAATCTTATCTGTTCATATTTTAACTTGTAAATATATATTATAAAATATTTTAATTATAATAATATCTTTTAATTACATTATATATTATATATTATATATTATTAATTATTATTTTTTACTTTTTACTTTTTTATTTTTTTATTTATCTACTTTTATTTTTTTTTATTTTTTTATTTTTATATTTAATAAATTGGAACTCTATTTTTAGTTAACATATATATCTTTTATATTCTTTTTTGTTTTTAATATTATATTAGTATTTATAAAAAATATATAAATAAAATAAATAATATAATAAAACAAATATCTTTTAATACTTAAACATTTTTTGTCTTTTCTTTTCAATTATATTTCAAAACTTGCAAACAAGTAGTTTTGAATTATATTGAACTGATCAAAATGTTATTATTGGAATTATTGAATTAATATTTTTATTAACTAGTTTTTGAATATTTTTGTTATATTTGAATTATTTGGAATTCCTCATCTGAAAATATTATAATTCTTTTTGTGAGAAAAACAAAGTGAAAGAGTCTTTATTATTTGTTTAGTTTTGAAATATATTTATCTTGATATAGAGAATTGGTATTTTAGTATTTTAATTAATATATTAATTAGAATATTATTTATAATAAGTATTATAATTAACATAAAAATTAGAACATTATTTACTTTTTCCTCTTATTTTATTTTCTCTTTGAACTATATAATTTGATAAAAGTCAATATAGGATTTAAATATATTTTTCTTATTTTTTTCAAATCTTGTTAATATTAATTAGCTAATTTCACAATTAATAAAAAATATATAACAATATTCTCTTAAAAAATTTCCTGATACTAAAAATATATATCAATATTCTCTTAAAAAATTTCCTGATACTAAAAATGATAATAATAGTAATTATAAAAATATTGTGATTATAACAGGATTTTTTATTAATAAAAAAATTGTAACTAAGAAAAATAAAAGCTAAAAAATAAATAAAAGTTAATTTATATGTTTTTGTATTTTCAATTTTTTTAGATTTATATTATAAAAGAAGTATCAATTTAAATCTTAACTATAATTATTCCTGACTGTATTAAATTATTATAAAACATCCAAAAGATAACAAATTTTGAACTGATTGTCACAATTGGTCAAAGAATTTACTAGTCATGATTAGTCAGAGAATTTGCTATTTGACTAAACGTCAACTACGATTGCTTCAAAAGAAAAAATGCATTTGATGTACTATCTTGACGCGAATGGTAACCGTATATACACCATGAAGGTACTTATCCGCTTATAAAAATAGTTTTATATTAATTTTCGTGATAACTACAAGAGCTAATAAAATTACAGAGACTAAGTCCAACAGGAGAGGTCACAAAATCAGCACACCCTGCTAAGTTTTCTCCAGACGACAAGTTCTCGCAACATAGGGTCACGTTGAAAAAGAGATTTAATTTGTTATTGACGCAACAGCAGCAGAAAGATTTTTGAGGGAAGTTAGTATAGCGAGTTCTGTGGATAGCATGGAAGGTATTTTCTTATAAAAATAAATTTTATTAAGTTTTTATTATGCATACATATGTGAATAAGGTAATTAATACTATCTAGATTGACTAAATTCGAGTATGGCGCATTGAAAATTTTCATCGGATCGATATCTGTTTTTTAATTATCACAGAAAAAAATATTGATTATAATAGTATTCGCATCTTGAAGAATAAATATGAATAAAGTTTCATTGATAATATTAACAATAACCTATAAGTTATAATTACATGCAATAATGCAATATTGATACAAGTTAATGTTACAAGTTAATGTTACAGGCAAAGGTTGATTGTTACTAAATATTAAGGTAAGGATTATATTTCCAATATTAATACGATTATTAAGTATGAAAATATAAAAAAATATACTAATTTAATTTATAATCTTTGCAAGGTCATCAGTACACTAATCATAAATAAAATCATATTATACACCCACAAAACATTATTATTTACCCAAAAATTACCACCTTTGGTAATAAATAACAAAATGCCATTATTGCCACCACCGCCAGGACCACACATACCACCGTTAGCAGAATTCGCAGCGTCATAACCACTAGCATTACCAGTAATAGCGCTCATCGACGCACACGCACTACGAATTGCATCAACAGTCGGCGGCACCGGCGTATTCAACGCCGTATTCGTTTGGTTTGTTTTCTGAAAACAATACAAACATAACGAGTACGCCTGCAAAAAAGAATCCCCGCATGCGCAACGTGCCGCCAACACGAATTGGACAGGATCAGAAAACACGTTGGAGAGGTTTTGAAAGGTGTTTGCGGATTTTTGACACGAGGATACAGAGTCGTAGTTCTTTTGGCATTGGACGCATGATGGGATTGTTTGGTCAAAGGTTTGTGAGGTGGCAGATGGAATTATTATGAGTATTAGTGTTAGTAGTAGGATTGTGAAGAAGAGAGTGGCGGTGGTTGGTTTTGGTGTGGGGGTGACTATAGTGGTTGAAGTGATGGTATTCATTTTTTTGATATTGTTGGATTTTTGTTTGTAATTTTTATCTCTTGAATTTCAAAATTTAGTTTGTAATCAAGAACAAGATGATAATAAAACAAAAATCACTTTAATTTCAGATATTAAGACTGAACCAAAATAGTCATTAAAGTCATTAAAAATACTGCAAAACTTCTTTAAAAAAGAAGGCAAAAATCACAACAGCGACATGATTAAGGAGAAAATTAATTTAATATGACCACAGACCGACTTTCGTTTCAGGAGGTTTTGTGTAATAAAAAAATGTTACGCGATTGTTTTTAGATCTACGCATTTATACGTGTTACAGTAACATCTAGTGTTTTTTGAAAAAAATGTCAAATACTGGTAATAATATCTCTGTTTTATACAATTGTTCATTATTTACTCTCGAGAACATTAATAATAATGAACATTGATTTACTCTTTATTAGAGCTAGAAAATTACCTTGCATTCTCAATAAAACTCGCCGAGGAATGCGGACAGGTGATACGTGACGGTTCAAAAGCTCGATATCACAAATCTGAAGAAGTAAAAGGAAACAATAACGATGTATTTGAGAAATACGGAAATCCGACAGATTTAGTTACCGAGACAGATAGAAAAGTCGAGGAAATTGTGCGTGATAGAATCAGTAAAGAGTTTCCGTCGCATAAGTGAGTAAATTTGTTTTCTCGTATAATGATAATGTTTTTAAGGGTGGAAGTGAGAGATTGTTTTCTACCAGGAATCAGTGCTTATATTATCTCTCTGTTTATCTGATCAAACTAAAAAGATTTATTGGCGAGGAGACCGTTGCAGCTGGCATAAAATGTGAATTTACTGATGACCCTACGTGGATAGTCGATCCAATTGGTATATACAAACTTTTTCAAAAAAAAAACTATTATTTTATTTCGAATATCATTATTATAAATCGTTAGATCACACGTTTCATATTTTTGGAGAAATTTTTAGATGGCACTACGAATTTTGTTCAAGGGTAAAAAAATCGAATGTTTATTTCTATCGAATAACGAATATATGGAAACGAAATTGCTCATTCAATTTTTATTAGATTCCCTTTTGTTGCAATTTCGATCGCTTTGGCAATAAACAAAGAACCTGTAGTTGGCGTGATATATAATCCTTTTATGAACGAAGTATAGATTATTTAGAATAATCTAATTAATAAATCTTGTAGTACCTAATAAATTTTTCTTTATATTCATTAACAAAATCTTTTGATATCACCTTTTCAACAGTTATACACAGCAATAAAAGGAAAAGGCGCCTATTTAAATCGCACAACACGTCTTCCACTCTCGTATCCACACAATCCGCTTCCACTACCAAATCTTTCCCATTGCCTCGTCCTGACAGAAATGGGAAGCGACCGATCACCGTCAGTAATCGATAAAAAGATCAGGTCGATTCATAATATGGTGGCACAACCTGGGCAGAGTAATAGATCTAGTGGTGGAGGTAGTACAAAAAAAGCAGGACTTGTGCGAGGGATACGGTGTATGGGTAGTGCGGCTGTGAATCTTTGTTTTGTTGCCAAAGGCAATGCGGATATTTATTGGGAGATTGGGTGCTGGGAATGGTGTGTACTCTGAATTTTAATCACGATCTGAATTTTATACACTACTATGAAAATAATGCAATCGGCATATTTAGGGATGTAGCAGCCGGAATCGTAATCTGTCAAGAAGCTGGCTGTATAATAGTCAACGCTAACGGTCCCGACGAAAGTCCCGTGGACATCCTCGGACGTAAATTTTTGGCAGTTCGTGGGTGTTCGCCGAGTGCTGGCGATACGGATGCTAAACAAAGTCAGTTACGTATTGTGAGAGAGCTGTGGAATGTTGTTGAGGAGATTGAATGCCCGAGATAAATAAAAACCCAAAATAAACAAATTCAAATATTGCACAGTAGAGATAATGTTTCAACATCGCTTTAAATACAACTATAAGATTAATGCAGAGATTCAACGCCAGAAAATACGGCAAATGCGAAAATTACAAAGGAATATGTACTTTTCCTCATTTGTGTGTATCGCAGACAATTTACTTGCAAAATCATAAAGTTAACCAGCGAGTCTCTTAGAGATAGGTTACTAGCAAAAAAAATAAAAGCAACGGGCAAATTTCTTTTGTGTTTAGAGAAATTATCCGATTCTTTTATATACCCCACCTATTCATACACTCATAAGCGAAATTCTACTTATCACAAACAAAAGAATAATCATCTCTCCTCTGTACACAGTAGATCGAACCTCCCTAAGACGAAATCTCTTTATATTGACAAAATTGGTTGTACAAAACAGAGAGAAATCGAGAATCTTCTCTTTGCCGAAATTAGAGTCTAAGATCGAGCCAGTCGACTTAAAGAGGTTTACTGTGTACGTATTCGTTTGTGATCTGTCTTAAGGAGAAATTAACATTGTCTCACCACACCGCCTACATGCAGATCCTCATAAAATTTTCATGTTTTACTGATGAACTAAACTTATAAAAATGATACTGTTATACATGCATAAAAACCGAATTTCCCCAATTGATTCCATCCAACAATAATATAAAAAAATCACCTTTCGGAACTAGAAAATAACCCAAACTAGCATTTAAGAAAACAAATAATGAATCAAAGATCCCAATAGTGTTAAACTTACTTGCAAGTAATATTAACAAAATAGTATAAATTGAAAGAAAAACTCTGTATGTGTCTCGGAATTTTTGTGTGTGTATATGAGATATTATTTTGAATTTTATATTCGTCAATTGAATTCACTATTTTCATGGATGGTGATGATGAGGATGGTTGTTTGTTGGACTATTTCGTATTTTTATACTAAAAATAGGAAATTTTATATAAATATAAAAAAATTGAAAGATGCTAAAATAAAGCAAAAGTCTCTGAGCCAAAAAAACAACAAACCAAGGAAAAGAAAGCTTTGCATAGAACAATCAACCAATTAAACTACAAAGAGAAAGAAAGCATGGAAAGAAATTAAGCACATATTCCCAAAAAGAAGAAAAAATCATTCATCAATTAATCGATTGATCGATCAATTAGTATTCAATGCGCTTTTTGCATAAAGGACACTCATCCCTCAACTTGATGGCAGCTAATTAGAATAGTAAATCAATCAATTAATTTGTTTATCGATTAAGAGATACAACAAAAATTAAGGGATTAATGTGCTCACCAGCAACGCACATCCTATGAAAATAATGTCCATGACACGGTGGAAGTTTAACAATATGTTGATCTGGTGTAGTTGTGTTCGGATCCTGAAATCCATCCAGACAGATGATACATGTGTCTTCATTTGTAACTTCGGAGATCGCAATCGGTTGTAGGATAGAGTTATCATCTAATAAAAGAGAAAAGTAAATTCATTTATTGTCTAGTATAATTCCGTAGATGCAAGAGAAAAAAAATACCATTAGCAACTCTTCGCATTCGTCGCGTTCCTCCCGAATTCATGTTGTACTGCTGAAATCGAGGTGTGGCATAATTGAATCGAACCTCGTAACGATCTGGAGTGGACGCAAAGAAACCACGTGTCGGACTAAGCATCGTTTCTTTGCGTTGGTAAGCTTCTTCTAATTCTGCCGATGATGGCAAATCATAAGGAATCCATTGATCTGGATTTGCGCGCCATTCCCACTACCCACAAAAATCGTAACGCAAATGATTCCGTAAAACATATAAATAAAAATAAATAAAAATGAACTTGACAGGCAACAGTTGTTTTCTTTCTATGTGATATTTAAAAGGTTTTTACCTGTACAGGAAGATCTTTGGCGTCTGTACGGGTCTGGTAGCACATTACGCAGGTTAAATCAATAGCCTGGGAAAAATGAAAATAAAGGACAAAATTAAGACAAAATGCATTTTGAAAAATCAAAATGATACTTTCCACATGCAAAAATTGTTGTATTCACCTCGTTTCTGAAGGTACATCGTTCACAAGACCAACGCTCAGTACTGGATTGTAAAGAATTCGACATTGTTACTACTGGTATACTACTATTGCTAAAAGAGAATAATCGTTTCATATAAGATTTTCACAGAATGAGTGCCCTCTGTGTCTATGTACGGACGTAATCTTTGTTTGAAACAAAAGTAGAAAAAAGGAAGAAAATTCTATTATATAAAGTATTGGTTTGTTCTATAGTTTGTGAAATGATACATCGATCAATCGAAATGACAACTTTATTCCGATATTTAAACATTTATCATCTCACGCCAAATCAGATTTATGTAACAAATATCAAGTACTGCGTAAATTATAATACATTGTGCCGGACGCGTTTGTATGAACTAAAAAAGAAATCCTTTAACGGAATTAATTGTCACGTGACGGCATACAGTTAACCGATAGCTAGATCAACAAATCATCACATGTAGAAGATCACGTAGTATCTTTATCTTTGCGCAAAGTTTGTGTACAATCCAGTAATCTTCTTCACTACCCCCTTAATCGAACAATTTTCGCTGCAAGAACATGGCCAAAGGTATGTTTTACATTTACAAATGTATTTTTCTATATCGCATCAAGCTATTACACTCTCAAGAGCTAGGCTCATTCTATTTTGTTTTGAGTTTAACAACTTAGTTTTCGCCATTTTCGTCGTCAAGCATCGATTTGATTTGATAATTTTATATTTTCCACTATAATTTCCCTAAAATATGGTAAATCTCTACATATGTTCCTAGTACCTCGCAACTTTAGACTTCTTGAAGAACTCGAAAAAGGTGAAAAGGGAATTGGTGACGGAACTTGCAGCTATGGTCTTTCTAGTGGAGACGACGTATACATGAGTGATTGGAATGGAACCATCATAGGACCGGGTCATGTAAGCTGTTTTTAATGGAGTTGGAATGTTGACGGTTTCTGATTTGGGTCTTATCTTTACGGAACTGCTTGATCCATTGTATCCATCCGTGCCTTGAATAACTTTTTTGATTTTTTTTTCTACCAATAGACTATTCATGAAAATCGGATTTATAGTTTGAAGCTTCATTGTGATGAAAATTACCCTGATTCTCCGCCATCAGTTTATTTCATTTCCAGGATCAATTTGCCGTGTGTTAATCAACAAACAGGCAAAGTGAGAATTGAATATTTTAATTATGATATAGTAATCTAGTTTTCGATTGAATATATATATCTATATATCTACCTTTGTTATTTCCGTACCAGGTTGAATCCACTAAATTAAATTGTCTCGGTAATTGGAAAAGAAATTATACCCTGGAAACAGTATTAACAGACTTACGACGGTAATACATTTTTCTGATTAATATTGATTCGACAATTATAACGATCGAGTATATAAATATGTTCTTTATTTAACACACAGTGAAATGGCCAATCCTCATAACAAGAAACTACCTCAACCACCAGAAGGTTCTTCTTTCTAATTCTCCACGCGCACCGATAATTTGTATTACTATCATCATTATCATCATCATCATCATCATCATCATCATTATCATCATTATCATCATCACCATCATTATTAGACGGAAAAAGGATGAGTGAAGCGAGGAAAAATGCAGGGAAATATTACATGTGTTAATGGTGGTGGTGTTATTGAATGATGATGGCGTTGTGTGGTTGAATTTTTTTAGTTATATATACACACACACTATAATTTAATATTAACAAATAGTAGTATTTTTTATTGTTAGTCTCTGTAGTCGAGAGAATCCATAAGTTCATTTATTATCTGTAATATTTTGTTAGTTTTTGATGAGAGAGATGATCTATGAGTAGGGACACTCAAATACACACAAATATATCAAGAGTTTGGGTTTCCGCCGGGACGGAACTTTGGTATTGGGGGATTTTATTATTAAATTTTCTTGTCATCATATTATAAAATTAATTGCACTGTGTGTTATCATCATTATGACTGTTATTTTACAATACTATTGATGGACAAAAGATCTCGCGTTTTTTTTTGTCGATCGATAATAAATTAATCTGCTATAAATTATAGATATCGGGAGAGACTAAAGAAAGAAATTTATACATGCAATATTATATTATATTGTTGTCGTCGTTGACCTGGTAAACAAAAGAAATGGCTGAGCAACAAGAAACGTCAGTTTCATCGACACTTGAACAAACTACAAATAAACTCGAGGAAACTGTACTAGAGTAAAATACTTTTTTGAATGAACCTCGTAATTTAAATATTAACATTTGGTAGAGCGATCTAATAATACTCTCGCGTTTTGATTTATATATCCTTAAGTGAAGACGGAAAGCCACTATCAAAAAAAGCACTTAAGAAATTAGAAAAGGAACGCGAGAAAGAACGCGCAAAAGAACGCGCAAAGAAAGAACGCGAAAGAATCGAACTTGAGAGAAAGGCTGCAGAAGTTTGTAAAAATATCATTTTTTTTCTAATTTTAGATATTTGATCTTACTTGTGTACTTCTATATAATTGTTGATGACAATGTAGAGTTACGGATCAGAGAATTTCGGAAAGAAACCATTGAATCAGTCGCAAGAGAGAACTGGTATGATGAATAAGATTATTAGTTGAAATTTTTGATCGTAAAAAGATTTGTTTTTTTTTTTGATCTCTTAATATTTTGAAGCCACAAAACGAATTCGAATTTCTGACATTAATGGTAGTCTCAATGGAGAAGTTGTAACGATTCGTGCACGTGTTCAGACTTCTCGAGCGAAAAGTATATTTCTGGGGTTTTATTGTTTCGGAGATTGTTCCTTTTTGATTCAATAGATATAATTAAATATATGTTTCTTGATTAAATTTAGGCCAAATCGCATTCTTTGTACTTCGTCAACAGTTCTCGACGATTCAAGGTGTGTTAACTGTCAACAAGGATACTGTGAGTAAAGGATTTGTGAAATTTGCATCAAGGTAAATATTGAAATGATTAAAAATAAATTTTATCCCCTGATGTGGCAATTTTAATAATAATAATTGTTTAGTATACCTGATGAGTCGATTGTCGACGTAGAAGGTATGGTTGCAAAAACAGAAGAAGAAATTAAGAGTACGACGGTTACCGATGCAGAATTGCATATAAAAAAGGTGGATCGATTGTGTTATTTGTTTTGGTATTTTCAAGCTTTATTTTATTATTTAAAAGAATTTGAGATGTTTTATTGATTTTAAATTCTCTGTTTAGCTTTACATAATTAGCGAAACTGTTGGACGTCTTCCGTTCACTATGGATGAAGCGACACGACCTGAAGATCTAATCCAACAAGTAAATAATGACGGATTTACGAAATTCTGATCCAACAAAAAATATAACTTGTAATTCTTTAGGCAGAAACGCAATTCAATCGTATAACTCTAGAAACACGATTAAATAATCGTGTTGTTGATCTACGCGTTAGTAATCCATTTTATTTGCTTTCTATTGTTATTTTTCTTTATCAAGAATATAATTGCTTTCTATTGCTATTTTCTCTCTTTTGTTATGAACAACAACAATAATAATAATAATTGTTATTATGTTTTTAAGACAATCACAAATCAAGCTATTTTTCGCATTCAATCGGGTGTATGTCAGCTATTTAGGGAATTCCTTTTGTCAAAAGAATTCATTGAAATTCATACGCCGAAAATTCTTGGCGCTGCTAGTGAAGGCGGGGCGAGTGTGTTTTCGGTGAAATATTTCAAAGGTATGATTTTTTGTTAACTTGGAGACAAAATGTTATTAGGAATCATCGATTTATTTACGTATATATAATTTCATGTGCCAAAATATTAGTTGACGCGTATCTTGCACAGTCACCTCAGTTCTATAAGCAAATGTGTGTATGTTCTGATTTTGACCGTGTGTTTGAAATAGCTCCCGGTAAATTCATTTTTTCATCCTCTCATCGTCATCATTCGATAAGCATATATTTATGATTTCTTTGTGATAGTATTTCGCGCTGAAAATGCAAACACACATCGACACATGACTGAATTCGTGGGTCTCGATCTGGAAATGGCATTCGAAGAACACTACCACGAGGTTCTTGAAGTTCTCGATGAACTATTTGTGTTCATCTTTCAAGGTCTCAAGACCAGGTTCGCCGCCGAGATTGAGACTGTAAAAAGACAGTATAATACACCTGATTTTGAGTTCCTACCGAAAACTTTGCGGCTAGAGTATAAAGATGCTGTGAAACTATTGAGAGAAAAAGGGGTGGAGATTGGTGATTATGACGATTTAAGGTTTTAATATTTATATTTTTCGATTTTTTTAGTCGGTTGATAAAAGGTTAATTAATTGCACGACCTTTCTTTATTGGTTTGGTAAAAATAGCACGGAAACAGAACGCATTCTTGGGCAACTAGTAAAAGAAAAGTATAATACCGATTTCTATATGCTTGACAAGTTCCCATTAGAAGTGCGTCCTTTCTACACAATGCCTGACCCAAATAATGACGTAAGCTTTTTTTTTAGAAATAAATACATATTCATTCATTCTCCCAAAAAAATTCAGAAGTTTTATTGAATGAAATAGAAATATTCAAATTCATACGACTTTTTTATGCGAGGCGAAGAAATACTATCGGGTGCTCAACGTATTCATGACGCCGCGTTTCTGGAAGAACGTGCCAAAGTACATAACATTGATCCGCCATCAATACAGGGTTATCTTGACGCGTTTAAACGTGGGGCACCGCCACATGCTGGTGGTGGAATTGGTAATTTATACTAAGTTTTGTTTATTTGATGCTCCAAGTATTCTAATCGATTTATCCGGTTCTCTCTAGGTTTGGAACGCGTGGTCATGTTATACCTGAACCTTGGTAATATTCGTAGATCATCACTGTTTCCACGTGATCCTAAACGTCTTGAACCTTAATAGTAAGAAATAGTTTTTTCTGCATCAGAAAATATGAATTATTCCTTAATTTATTTTCATTCTATAATGATAAAATTCTTTTTGTTTTTATTGTGATTTAATAATAAAGCTTGATTTTTTTTTAGTATGTTTTGAGTTTTGATGTCAGAATGTTCTTTGTATATTCAGATGTTTTCATATAAAGTCTTTTTCTATTATATCATGATATTATTAAGAATTTTTAATATTTTAAGTGGGTTGAGAATATTCAAATTTAATTTTTATTAATCAATTGTTATAAAATAAACTTGATTTTGTCAATAAATATATTTGGTTTAGTTCAATATATTTATTTTTGTATTTGGCAATTTTATTGAATTAATAATTGGTTTTTAGATTATTTTTACTTTAAATTTTTTATTAGATTATAATATTCGAAAATCTATATAAAAAGTTTTAATTATTAATTTATAAAGTTACAAAAAATAATAATTAATTTTTATTATTAAATAATTAAAATGCAATAGCATCAAATTTATTAATAAAATGTGAATTTTCTTTTTATATAGAAGTTTTTAGAGTTTTTCTAATTACAAAGTTAATTAATTTTTATAATTAAAATATAATAATTAACAAATTATGAAATTATACATATAATTTTATTGATAAAATATAGTAAAAATTAATATTTTTGTTTTATAAAAAGTTTTTAATTTTATTAAAAAATAAATAATTTTTTAATATATATATGTTTTGAATGTTTAAATTTAATTTAACAAAGTTGATTAAATTATTACAAAAATTTTTTATAATTAATTTTATATTTTAATTATAAAAAATTTTTGTAATAATTTTGCAATTAAAACAACTTTGTTAAGTTAAATCTAAAATTCAAAAAAATATATATTAATAAAAAATATTTGTTAATAAAATTGAAAATTTTTTTATAAAATAAAAAATTTAATTTTTATTATAAAATGAAAAAAAGTTATTTTAATTGCAAAAATTTTATATAATTAATTTTATATTTTAATTATAAAAAAATTTGCAATTAGAACACTTTGTCAAAAAAAAACTAAAAAAATATATTAAATTATAACTTGTAATCTTTGTTTTAATATAAAATAAAAAATATTTATTAATAAAATTAAAAACTTTTGTAAAAGACAAAAATTTTAATTTTTATTATATTTCATTAATAAAATCACATATAATTTTATAATTCTATTAGTTAATATATATATATATTTATAATAACAAAAATATATATTTTAATAAATATAATTTAAAATTATATACATATAATTCAAATCAGTTATACATAATTTGAATAAAATTAAAATTATAAAATTTTTTATAATATTTTTTAATTTGTATTTTAAACAAATTTATTTAAAATTTTATTATTAAATAATAATTAAAATTTTATTATTTATAATTAATTATATAATAAAAGAACAGATATATAATATTATTATGAATTACTATAAAACTATCTCCCTCTCTAAATGAGATATATAATTAGACATTAAATAATAATATTATCTCGCATTATAATATTATCTTGCATTATAATATTATTTTGCATTATAATGTCATTTCATATCATTATAATAATATATATTATTCAAGTCTAGCTCTATATATTTTTCTCACTATAATTTCTAAATACTGTCACCGTTGTGACATATTATATATTAATTGACACATTATGTCATTATCAAGAAAAGCTCAACATTTATCTATATAATAGTATTTAACAAAGAACAATGATTATTAGAAATCTAATTAGTTTTTATTAAGATATTTTAATTGGTTTTCTATTATAAATTAGATTTATATCATAATACATGCTTAATATAGATCATTATATTAAGATTTAGCATGTGTTCTATTTCTATATTTTAATTGGTTCTTCTCATGTATTTAATTTATATTGGTATTACCTTGTGTTATATTAAGTTTATTTCATGTTTAATTAATTTTATTGTGTAATAGCAAAGGAATACTAATAGTATTTTAGTATTTTAGCATGTGTTGGCACTGAATTTAAATATACAACACTTGGCAAATTGGAATAACATAATGTGTTACTCGTAACATATGAGAATGTGTTAAATTCCAATTGATTCTTTTTGAGTTAAAAATAAATATATAAGTAGCATGTATCTTAACTTAGAATTATTATCAAATCATGAATTAAGATAATAATATCAAATAAAAATTGGTTGTAACTTATATTCTTTTGGTCTTTTAATTATGTTGTCTTAACAAGAAACTATTATTCATTTTTTTATTATTCATAATTATATTTTAATAAAGTTATTATTATTCAGTACTTTAGAAAAGCTTTGATAATTATTATATTTGTTTTGTTAAGTTTTCTTGTTAAAGTTATATTCAACCTCATTATTTAATATTTGATGTTTAAATTATAAATCTTTATAGTTTAGTATTCTGACCTTTCAAAATAAACACAGTTACTATTACCATTCTAAAATACTTTCATACACAAAAGCTTAGAACAGTAATAATATTTATTCTTGTATTTTTTTCCGTCAAAACAAGTTGTCCAGCAAAAATAATTTGTTAATTAAACTTCAAATCTTGTAATTCAAGTCACTTTTCATAAATCTTAAGCGAGATTAAGAAACCAAATATTGATTTGTGTAGAATTAAAATTCTGATTATTATTTTTGTCTTTAAATTTGAAAAAGATAGTTAAGTATTTTTGGATAAGTATATTAATTTGCTATAGCGTTATTTTTGATATAGTTATGTATCACAACTTTAAATAAGTGATATTAATTTGTATAATTGTGTACTATAACTTTAAATAAGTAATATTAATTTGTATAATTGTGTATTGCAATCCTAAATAAGTAATATTTCTTTTAGTTAATCATTTTTTTGGTATTAAAAGCACTAGAATATATAATTATAAATATAGAAATATCAATATTTTTTTCTTTAATTAGTAATTCTTATTAGTGTTATAGTTAATTTTATTTGTTATATTTTATTGAACAATTTCTTAGTTTATTTTTATTGAATACTTCATATAGTATATTTTATTGAACAATATTTATTTTTATTTTTATTGGTTAGTTATTTTTTGAACTTATTGTTTACATGTACTATACATCAATATGACAGATATATTGAATTTTTGATATTTTGATTAGAGATATCGAAGCATTGATATTTTGAAGTATTAATTTTAGAACTATAGAGATTTTGCTTGTTTAGTATTACGAATATTTAGTGATCTTTGCAACAATCAATTTCATATATAAATAATACTTCACTTAATATTATTATCATTCTACCTTTCATCAACCATATTACACTATATTTTAGCACAGTAATATTCATTTAGACTTTTTCTTTTATTTTTACTTTTTTACATTTCTCATATTTTTATCCAATAGCATTAATTTATACTTTTTATTCAATTATTTTACATTATTATCGCATTATTTTAGTTTAGATTTCATTATCATTTAATTTACCAATCAATTCATATTATTATCACATCATTTTATATTCTAAATCTTATTGGTACTTTATTTTTATCTCTTGTTATATTAATTTAATTAGCGACACATAGATTTTACACAAATCCCTTTTTAATATTACACAATAGTTATCGTGTTCCAACAT